CTCTCTCTCTCTAATCTCTTGCATCTCTCTTTAAGCCTCCCTAAGAGTTAGAACTTATATTATACGAAAAGAAAGAGGGGCATGCCCTAGTTCTTGAGCCTAGAGTAGGCACGCCCCATATAGTTCTTTGAGACCCAGTTTGGTCCACCATTGCTCTCTATATTGAAGGGTCCTAGCCTAGGCCTCCCGTACATATAAGATATGAAATAGACTTTGATCTCGTGCGCCATCGGAGGAGACCCGGGGTGAGGTGCATCAAGTCCAGTTGAGGTAATCTTCTGACACTGTACTTTATGTGATGCAGTTTGCATTTTTTTGTTTCCAAACAGTCTTACGTAATATTTTATTATTAAAATAAAAAAGTTTTATTTAGTGGCAGCAAGTGAGAACCTTTTTGTTATTCATATTTGCTTGTTTTGAGTTTATCTTGTATTAATTTGACCTTTGTACGTGTTCTAGCCAGTAGAAAAGAGAAAAGTAAAAAACCACATATATCGTGCTAGTTCGCCATGTCCAACTTTCAACTTGGGAGCAAATATTATGGGCTGCATCACAAGAGAAGTTTGTATCTGACAAATATGCTTCTTTCAGAGTGTCCCAAATTTTTTTAACGGTGTTAACACACATCACATTCGCACTTATTTGGGGCTCCATACGGCTCCACAACAAAATCATGATTATGTAATTTACTCTCATCCATTCTTCACATCTACTATCAAACTCATTAGGCTTGTCTTCAATCAAGTAATTTCAATTTCCCCAAGCACCAAGGATACTTTAACTGATTAAACTCATACAGCATAATTTGACTTATTTACTTTTACTGAAATAATTTGTATCCCCAAATTTTCAAATTTAATTTCAACAGCCATGAGTATACGAATTATAAAATAAAGGAGCCACTAGGGTCAACTGATTGAAGTGATATAGAGAATAAGGTGCTCTTTTACAGAACATTTAACTTGGAAATGAATTTAAAAAATTTACAATCAACACATGCACATAAAAGTGAAAATACTCTTTGCTCATTGTTACACCCTCAAAGTACAGCAACAATGACTCAAATATCACTTGAGAAACAAAAGCTACAACTCAATGGAGTCTCCAAGTCATTTGCTCAAATACTTGGTACAAGAAAATACAAATTATGTCATTTTTACACATAGACCTTCACATGGACTACACACATAACATTCCTATTAACAAATATATCACATTAACACATCATAATCAATTCTCAACAACTTGAGACTTTTATAAACTCAAAATCAGAGTATAAAGAGTGCAAAATAGCAAGGGAAGCCAATAGTTAAACCCTTAGTGCCCGGGTCACATAACCAGATCTTTTAGGGACTTAGTTTTGTCCCATAGATGATAGCATGGATGGTTCAAGTCATAAGGCTTTCTCTTTCTCACTCACACTAATGGGAAGCTATAATAGCACTGATCTACCACTTCATTTACTCAAAATGAGAAAGCGAAATGAACTTTTAAAGCACAAAACAGTTCGCTGAAGCCAAATTAAAACAGTTCATATGGAGCACAGGAATATGACAATGTAGTTATATATAGTAGAACAATTTCTCAAACACTTTTCTCCAAAACCATACTCCAGCAAATGATACTCAAATGGCCACAAAATACTCAATGATTCTCATGAAAAGAATGCTCAAAACCTCAAAAAAAAACCAAGTGCTCAAAGCTTGAACAAAATGGGCCTAATAGAATCATTCAAGGACTAGACTATGCATACTATGTATCATATATGCATAATATAAAAGGGTAATAAAAGATTACCAAAACTTCAAGGCAATAAGAAGATATCGCTGAAATGGATGAATCACAACTAAACTACAAGGAAAAAGCTCAAAATAGGAAGGAAATGATAGGGATGATTACCTTAGATCATAAAAACTAGACACCTTAAAGCTTAGCATGCACCACCATGGTCATGAGGCTTCACCAAGGAAAAGAGGAAGAAGCTTAATGGAGGAAAAGAAAGAACTCGATGGAAAGGGCGTGGAGGTTACTCTCTCCCTTTCTAAGATGACTCACAAGTGTGTAACGAATGGGGGTGAGCAAGGGTTTACATAGACGGGGTAGTGAGATATTTGTGAGTAAATGAATCTAATCCCTAGATGATATTCATCTATAGCACATGAAAGCGCTATAATTCTAGCCACCCATCTATGCCTAACCATCAAGAACAATGGATGCGATTTACACACCATTATCACTACATAAAACCCTAAATCAAGCCATTTTACCAAATCGTCCATTGTAGAGCAATGTTTTCAACATTGCCATTCTCAATTCCAAAAGTGCCCATGGTGATTTTTGAAATTAAAAATTGCATAAAGGTGTAGGGCCAAGCTCTTCAAGTATTTTGGTAAATATTTTCCTTCCATTCAATGGGATGAAGCCATAACATGAAATTCACATGGGTTTAAGCCAAGGAGATAATACCACACCAAAAAGCCACTTTTAATTTTCATTCTCTCATACCCTCAAAAAAAAAAAATTCACTCTCATAGATTAGGGTTTAAGCCAAAATATTATGACTAACCTCAACCCTAGGCACATGTGTTCCATCCCATATGTGTGGCAAAACTCCATGAGATAAGTAAAACAAAAAATATTATAAAACATGCTTTTATTAAAACCTTATAACTTAAGTGAACAAAATACCTAATACCAAGTGAGGACAACCCCCTTGGGCTTTGACATCATGATGATGTCAGCATATTGGTGGACCGTGGGGCTGCCATGTGGCCACTTGGGTACCATGTGGGCCCCCCATTAGTTGTCCTTGTTTAAATTTAGCCCAAACAAATTATAAATCCTCATTTTTTGGCTCCAAAAAAATTCTCAAAAATTCTTTGAATGATACTCCACTCAAAATGTATTTTCTCATCATAATAAAATCAGACAATTGATAAATGAGATCTCTAGGCTGAAATCCAAGTATCAGAATACTCCACTGGGCTAGTCTGGAATGGTGGTCCACTTATCTCAGAATGACCAAAAGAGCCTATACTCCAAAATCTATGGCAGGGACGTACAATCTAGCTTCATCAAAGTCACCCTAATCAAGCTTTCCAATATCCCCGATTCTTAGTAGACTATAGGTGCACCCCTAGGGACCTAGTAATGCTTATATACAGGGTGCCTCTCAAGGCACATGTGCACTAGCTCTTCTTAGTAAGATCATACATAAGAAGAGTAGTTTCCCTTACGATTGTGAGTGCACATGTCATAAGGTGGCCTCGTATTAGGGAACGAACTCATGCCCCTTGAGTGAAAACCATCCTATACAGGGTCATTACTCTGAAGATACTGGGGTTATATATTCTCTTTTTGTTTCTCTTACCCATAGCCAACACACCAACCATGAGGCACACTCTATATATAATCTTGACTCAGAGGTGACCCTCACACCTCTGCAAGTAATCTCTCACTCTTGTCAATATCTCTCATTGCCTCTTATACTCCAGGTATATGATTTTGGGCCCCAGTGCACCAAGCACCCGGAATCATCTTCTCTTGCTCACTCCCACTGAGCGAGAGAATCTTAGCTTTAAGGCCTTGAAAGGCCATAAAGCCAACACTGAATATAGTCATTGATACCAAGACTAGTGGAATGCTAAGAAACAACTTTTCAAAGAGAGAGAGAGAGTGGAAGGATCCTATCATTCAAATCTGAGCATTGTTACTTTCTCACACTTCAACAAACTAGGGCAATACCACATTATCCTGAGCATCACCATGCTGCCACTCTTTGAGTAGACTAGGGCAGCACCCACACGCATGAAAAACTTTGGGTGTTTGAGAGAGAACTCCAGTGTATTATCCCCGGTTGCCCATAAACCTAGAAAATAGACAACGGTTCTGTTGTTGATCTCAATCCTTAAAGAGGGATCACATGGACAGCAGCATCACCACGCTAGATGCGACCCACATGGGTTTCTGCACATTATGAAAAGAAAAACAACAGTACGGTTCAGATCCAATAGCCCTTTATGAGGGTAGAAAAGAAAAGCAAGAGGAAAGAAAAGGATCAGTGCTCTAATACCATATTAGAGAAGGGGAAGAGAGAGAGAGAAGAAAAAAAAGAGGGAGAAAAGAAAGAGTGACATGAGAGTCCAATAGTTCTCATTCACATCTCAAAAAGCTTTTATATTAATGAAACTAGAGAAATGGAAAAACTGCTCATACAAACTGGAAATAGGACATGGAAGTCCTATTCACTTAAATGAAAGAGAAATAAAGGACTTCTAACACAAGTAAACCAGGTTATGTCCCGAACTCCAGTAAGCTGGGTTCTCCTCAAAACCTCACCTAAGAAATGACCAATTCAGGTTGACTAGGGTGAATTCTGGGTTAACCAGCAACCCACATGGTTTTAATCTATGGTAAAAACTATTCTGTTCTTTTCCTTCATGATGTGTGCATCCAAGGAATTCTCAACATACAAGTTGATAGGGGGATTCCATAGAATTAGAATAGCAGGTTATTCTATTTGGAATCTCATCATGAGTTATCTTCTAAGTGCTGTTCCTGCTTCTATACCTACAGAGTTGTCACAGATCTGGCACCTATGCTACCTTCATAGACAATTTTCTTCTGGTCATCTTGTTTCAGCTTCTTTGAATTATTGAGGTAAACTCTTCCTTAATCAAACATTAGGTTTCAGAATCTCTAATAAAATGGACTACAACAAAAATAGCCTTGGAAAATTATAAAATGACAGAAAAAAAGTAAAACTATATACATAACAATAAGTAATGTACAACTCATATTCAGGATAAATATACTGAGCAACTGTTCCACAAGAATTCCCATGTAAAACTCCCCTCAAATTGATCCAATAGCATCATTTTGTGAAGAAACAACCTAGGTTAACTTCCAAAGTTTACATGTGAGCATAACGAAAGATGGCAAAGACTACAAATTCCATGGAATTAAGGAGATGAAAAATGTAAAAATTACATGTTCACAACCTGGGCAGCATGATAAAGGCTGTTGAAGCTCAATGACCAAAGCCCATAAGCTATACTTTGACGCAAGCTGATGTCAGCAAGTTTCTTCAGCACTCCTACATATCTATTAGTGATATCAGGGTACGTCAGGTTAAATTTATCTGGTACTACACTTGTGTCCGAGAACTAAAATATAAAAAGAGTAGAGAAGCAATTGAGCATAAATATTATTTAGAAAAGGATCACTTGGCATGAGCATTTATTACCTTTCAATTTCTTGCTTCTCTGTTCCATAAGAGCGAATAATCCTCATCAATGAAAATGTCTCTTGAGAAACCTGCAAAAACATAAGCAGAAAATCTTTAACCTGAATCAACTATATAGAAAACTAAATGTCACCTTACAAACTTTTGACTGTAATAGTAGTCAGCATATAATCATCAAAAGCTTAGAAATACCTCATTGGCAGAAGCTAGAAACTCTTGGAATGTCTTAGCAGCATTCTTCTGGTATCTATCAAAATTAAATGTGGAATAGGAGTTTGATATCAGAGCCCAACTATGATCAGAAATGTAAGGAATTCAAATTCCATTGAAGGATAGAGCTAATGAGATTGTAATCACAAAGCACATGCAAACTTAAAGAACACCTCCATTATTGTAAAAAAACATAGTGTATGTGCATATGATGATGTTTAATTAGTGCCATTACAAACCACACCACTTTAAATAACAATTTGCAGAATGGGGAGCCTAAATTTAAAGAACATTAAATACAAGAGGACAAGATTATTTCACTAGAAAAAATGATTTTGTTCTGAGTTGTGCTCCTTTACATAAAGCATGGTATAATCATTAAATAAAATTGCACTGCTATAGTTTTTTAATGCAAACAAATCAAACTAATATTTTTATTACAGTCCTTGATATGGTGTACATACAAAAAGTTTCAGACCAACTCAAAGTTTATACGTTACAGAAGAACATTTCTGGAAACAGAAGTTTCTGCATAGTCATACATTTTTCAAAATTTAAAAAAAACATTAACCTTTCTTTGGGGTAAATCAGTGGGAAAAAGGTCCCCTAGCCGGTTACTTCATAGAGGAAGAATGGAAGAATTACACCATTTATGTGTCGCTCTGAATATTACAATTTGAGATATCAAACAAAAGATGACCATGGTGTATGTTGTTCGTGGACGATATAATGAAACCCAAAGCAGCATCGATACAAAGTTAGAACTTCGGAGGGATGCTCTAGTAGAAGTAGCAGGACAAAAAAGATTATTTGTAATGCAAGTTTAGTAATAATTGAAGTAGAGAAGAGGAAGTAAATAAGATTGACGACCAAGAAATACCGATAAGAGTGGACTTTCAATATCTTCAAGTCGATAATCCAAGAAAATGGAGAGATTAAGGAAGATGTTGCACATAGAATTAGAATTGGGTGGGGCACAAAGGAGATGTGCAACCAGAGTTTTATGTGACTGCCGCATACCAATGAAGTTGAAGGGAAAGTTCTATAGGACTGTTGTGAGACCAGCATTGCTTTATGGGGCGGAATGCAGGTCAAAAAACAACATACCCATAAAATGTAGCTAAGATGAGGATGTTGGGATGGATGAGTGGCAAGACAAAAAGGGATAGACTTTGAAATGAATACATTCAAGAGAACTTCGGTGTGGCTCCAATAGGTGATAGATGAGAGAAAATAGACTTAGGTAGGTTGGGCATGTGCAGTGCAAACCCAGTACAGCACCTGTTCGAAGGAGCGAGTTGGTTCAAGTAGAAGGCTAAAATAGGACAAGGGGTAGGCCCAAAAAGACATGGCTAGAAGTAGTAAGAAAAGATATGGGGACTTAGGCCCTCACTACGAGTATGGACCTTGATAGTACAGAATAGCAAACCAGGATTTGTAGAGCCAACCCCAAATAGTTAGAAAAACGCTCTAACGATGATGATGATTATGATGAAACAAAAGTAAGAGAGAAATGTGGCCGAGAGAAAAATATTCACCTTGATCCATGTATCAATGCATACAGAAAAATCCTTTTGCAATGATGTTCAATAAATACTAGCAAAAGTCATTTAAATAATTCATTGCATTGCAACATATTCAAAATCACAACCATATATAACATGTGCACAAAATTCACAACATCTATAGCCTTTTTCAGTGTTTTCATTGGCCAGAAGCAAACATGTGAATGGATCATGAACTGAATTTGTTATGCTCATCTGAAGGAAATGATATAAACAAATAAAACACAACACTAAGATAAAATTACGAAGGTGTTTTAAAAAGGTTGGAAATCTGGGGAAAGAAAACCAAGTTTTCGGTGTTCTCACATCCAGTGATATGCCACAAGTATGGTTACCTGGGCCAATCCTTGATCTACTAGAAGTATAAGAAACAAAACACCACAGGTATATCAAGCACAAGAGCTAACTATAAGGGTATGCCTCCTAAAGCCAGTGCAACTGTTTATAAAAGCAAACAACTTTCAAGGTCTAGGAGTTTCCATTTCCCATAGAAACACCTCTACATCCAATAGAACTAACTCTATCCATATGTTTACCTGGGCCAATCCTTGATCTACTAGAAGTATAAGAAGCAAAACGCCACAGGTATATCAAGCACAAGAGCTAAGTATAAGGGTATGCCTCTTGAATCCTGTGCGACTGTTTACAAAAGCAGACTCCTTTTGAGGTCTAGGAGTTTCCATTTCCCATAGAAACACCTCTACATCCAATAGGACTAACTCTATCCAGATTGAAAGTGTCGTTTTATGAACACAGAAACACATGAGGCTCATTGTCTTTTCATTCAAGAACATATTGGAAAAGGACAACAATCTTATATTTCACTTTTGAATACCAGTTGGCAGAGATCTTGACTAAATCCCTCACTAGGTCATGTCATAAGTTCCTATTCAGCAAATTGACACTCTTTGGGTTTCACCCCATAAATTATCAAGGGCGTGCTTGCAGGGGCATACTCATCACGTCTAATGTATGCAATTGTTCTGCATTCTGTAGTAATCATAATTATTGTATTGCATATAAAAGGCATACAAAAGGTCACATGTAAATGTTTAAGCGCACAAGTGTCACAACAAGCTGTATGCATAATCCAATAGACTAAAGCTGTCCATAAATTTGACTAAAAGCTTTCCTTCCATCTACAAAAATGATGATCTACTGCTTCTCCTCTATCACACTCTAATCAAATTCCGCTCAGATTATCATCTAAGCCTTTGACCAAACGGCAAAACACAGTTCCCAGTGAGAGAGACCATGGTTTTGAACCTCTATCTTGCAGATCAGCTGGCCCAGAGTAATAGATAAAATGGAAAAGGACATATTATGCTATGCATGGATGACAAGGTAATTATTAGAAAACACCATCAATTAATTATGTATACAAATTAATGAACCATTGCAAAGGCGGTTTCTATTAACTGATCGAAGAATATACTTCCAGATCATTGGGAGCCAGAATACTTAAGCTATGCTCTCTGGCCTTCTCAATAAATCCATTCCATTATAGCAGAAGTCAGCCCTCACAAGGCCGGCATGGAAGGCACCATCCATCAAGGTTTTCTCTATAGGATATTGGTGTGGACCTAAATAAATTTTCATGATTCTAGCAATCAGTAAGATACAAAGCACTAGACGAAAAGTTGCCAATTACAAACAAAAAAAAAATACAAGATGAGAGTCCAAGCTACAAATACTAGTAAGTATCAATTGTCTGAACGGAGGGAAGAGATAACAGCCTCATCTGTTGACTTTAGATACCTAATGACATCCTGCATGTTTGTATGCTTGAGGTAATTATTAATCCACGTACATTTATATTCGTGTCCAACCACATTTTAATGAATAAATAAACACTATACACTAACAACATAATAAAAAGACATCGTAAAAAGATATCACAGGAACTAACTGCTCACAGAACAACTAATAGATCTTGTAGAGTCTAGAATCACAATTGCTGCTAGGATTCTAAATGGTTTTAGAAGCTGTAATAGACTGCACTAGTGTCATCAATGACAGAGATAGAAAATGCTGCGGCGTAGTTCACACCAACATAGAGCTCATACACAACAAGGGATCATTTTCTATTTGAACTTCAGGTCATCAGAATGGGACACCAAAACAGATTTAAGGGAAACTTTGAGTAAATGTGATGTCTCTCTGAGAAATTTCTAGTAATATTTCTTGTCCAAGTATGTGGAAGTCTGTGATCATTAATAACATAGAGGCCAACCTATCTGGGTCAAGTGAGTACTCTTCCTAACACATGAAGGAAATATACAAGACAGGCCAGTCATAGTCAGCCTTAACCTCGGATCAAACCTCCGGAATTTACGGTTGTAACCTTTTCAAAAGAATCCTAAAATACGTTCCCACGTCCCATCTGGCGCTTGCCATTCCGAATTAGCAAAACTACAATTTATCAAATTTTCGGGTTCAACACTAACTCCATGGTAAGAAAACAGGGCTTCAAATAAAATCGACAACATAGGTAGCAATAAAAATATAACAATTAAGAATATCTTACTTGCTATAAAAGAACATTATTGTCAATATCACAGAGCATATCATCAAAGTGGACAATGCCAGCGGCCAAGACAAGGTCACCAAGTAAATAAATGCACCTGTACCCTGGAAAGGCTTAGAGACAGAATTAGAACTCAAAAATCATGAAACACTTCTTTCACATACAAACTAATATGTTCAGCAGGAAATGTCACCTGAAGGACATTGCGTGAAATTAAGTTCAGATCATTCCCAATAACACGAGATACTTGCTGACAATCTGACCCAAGTCTACTGGTCAAATCACCAACTGTTTCCATATCGAAAAAAGAAATATCCTGAACAAGCCATGATATCAATGTCATCCTTGTGGATGAAACATAAAGAAAGAAATTCCACAATGTAAAGCAGAAAAAATCACAATAAATAAAATACATAAATAGAAAAAACAATTTCAAGAAACTAGGCATATGACCTGAAAAAGGAGAGCTGAGTATAACTTTTCTCGCATACGCCTGACCTGGGTAGAGAAGAACAGCAATATTGGTTTAAAGAATACTGTAATTCATGTGCAATCAAATCTATTAAACTGCTCATGTAGAACTGAATATATATATATATCCTTGAACCAAACCCAAGTTTAAAGAAGAAAGAAGAGGAAAAATCACCAATATCATATTCGCAATTCCAAAGCAGCAACCCCGGATCCCACTGCGGATTAATTAAAATAAATGCAGCATTAGCACCATTATAAAGTCATAACCCATCCATTCTTACTTGATGTGCTTAAAATTAATTTGAGATCAAGCCTTTCAGATTTTAACACAGAAAAACAGTTATAAAATATACATAAGAGGAAAAAAATACAGAAATATGAAATACATAATTTAGGCCCATAAAAGGAAAATAGGAGTTCAAGGAGTCCGGGATGATTCTATCATTCAAAAATACAATAAATATACATATATAAGACAAATTAACATAAATATCCGTGTATTTATTGCCGTATTTACACATTGCATACTCATGAGCCTTTTTTTGTGCTTGTTTTTTCCAAACTGCCCGTGGTTCCGAACTCCAAATTCTAAACCCATGTCTTCTTCTTGTTTTTCCCACCTGACATATCAATTTAAACTTGAAGTACCGACCAACTATTTTAAAAATTAAGCGGTTCAAGTTCCAAACTGCTTATTCACTTTAAAAAATAGACACGTTTTCTTCGGAACTTGAAGTTCCAAACCGAGGACACTTGCCTATTTCTTGCATGAATAAGTTGTTCTGAACTTCACATTAACTACTTAATCTTTAAAATCTAGTTCAGTGAGTTGGAACTTCGACTTCTGAACCAATATGTCATGTAACAAAAAAAAAGGCTTTGGTTCAGATCTCGGAGTTTGGAACCAAGGGTATTTTGAAAAAATATTAAAATACAAAAAAAAAAGGACATGATTGTAAAATATGAAAATACTTGTAACATATGAAAATGGGGGGACATTTTTTAAACATTACAAAAATTACAGGATCATCAACATTATCATCCGAGCCTTATCCCAACTATTTGGGGTCAGCTACACAAATCATGTTCCCACATTCTGCTCTATCAAGGGTCATACCCTCAAAAGACCACGTGTCATATATCTCTTCCCACTCTTCCATCCATGTCCTTTTGGGCCTTCCATTCCCCTTGCCCTTTTAGAGCAAAAACTAAAGGATGTTTATGTTAATTTCCCAACTGAAGTAGGGCACACGTGTGCTCATTAAAAGGTGAGTTTGTATACGGCGATGATGTATTATAAATTTTACTGGAAAACAACACCAGAAAAATTAACCATGTTTAAGAGAGAGAAATGAAAATCGTGAAGGAAAGCACAAGAAGAAAGAACAAAATGCGCGGATACGAGTATTCCAGCACGGACCATAAGCAAAGGAGAAGAAAAACCACCCACAAAGGGCTCTCTCTCTCACTCTACACGATTTCAAAGATCACTTTTTTTACATTCATAAAATTCAAATCCCCAATTACAATTCATGTGCTCCTTTTTATAAGAGTTTACATTCACCGCCCTAAAGATAAATACTAAAATAAAATAACTAACAAAATATTATGGACTCAATTCCTACCCACGCCTTGCACGTCCTATTCCAAAAAAACATAATAAACCTTCCTAATGTAACTTTATCTTCTATTAACAACCTAATCTACTCGTATGAGCTAAGGAAATAACCTCCTTATAAAAAGGAAACTACTAATTAATACCCTACCATTTATAACCAAAATAAACTACCAATTAATACCCTACCATTTAAAACAAAGGTACTTATCCTTCCAAAACTACACCCTTATCCCTTATTCGCACGCACTAACACATACCCATGTTAATCTTAGGAAGCTAACTCTATCAACTAATCATGCACCAACAGTTACCATTATACTTGCAAATAATAACTTATCCATTCCATAAAAGATAACTCCTATTTAAAACCCATAAAGATAACTAAAGATGACCTTCCTTTCCTGCGCGTTCAAACCCACAAGGTAACTTTCCTAAAATTTATCTAAAGAACCTTCTAACCATCATATTATTATTTCCAAATAAAATTAACTTTAATAAAAAAATAAAGTCTACCCAATCTCTAAAAATACAATTAATAAAAATAAAATTAAAAATTGTATCATCCAAATTTTGATCTGCATCATTCTCCCTTGATTGGAGAAAATTCGTCCTTGAGATCAAGTCAACATCTTGATTCTCTACCTCTCCGCCGATAATAAAATTAGATATCCTTGCTGCCTCAAGGATAACTTCTGTCCTTTCATCTTGTTCTTCATCAAAAAGAGAAACATCATCAAAGATGGGGTAACCGTGACATCTAAGAATGATGATTACAATTGAAGATCCAAAACTACACGTCCTTTATCTTCAACTGGTTCTTAATCAAACTTAGGCAGATCAATTTCCCGATCATGAGGAGACAGATCAAATTCCCGACCATGAGGCTCCAGACTCAGAGCGTTGGTATGGAACGAAGTTCTCGAAAATAGCATTCGACTCACTACCGTCATAATAGTATGTCTGTAAGGACCCAGACTTTTCAGGCGTATTGTAATGTGCCAACGAATCAACGGCACGAGGGAGCTAACGCGAGGGCACTTTTGAGAGAGTTGGCGTATCAGTGCGTTGTTAAGCGCGGGCAGACTATTGCGCCACTGGGCACGGATGGATTGTGCGTAGAGGTGCGCGAACGGCTATTGCGCTTTTGTGCGCGCGAGAATTGGAGCGCAGTTGAGCATGGACGGAGGGCACGTGCATCGAAAGCACGGGCAGACGAGTTCGCTGCTGGGAACGTGTGCGGTAGTGTGCGCCGCTAAGCGCGGGTGACCGCGCTAGAGAGCGCGGGTGGTTGATCGCGCAGATGGCGGGACGCGCGTTGAGGGTGCAGGCCAATGGGCGAGCCACGGGGAGTGGGTGATGTACGGTAATCTAGGGAGCTCCTTCCCTCTCTCATATTCTCTCTCTTTCTATGCATGTGTGTCAATTGGCCAATGCTTGATGTACCCATAATCATGATGCCTCCCATGCTTGCTCTCCCTCTCTCCTCATGCATGCCTCTTGTGTACCACTTGCCATTACCATGTTGCCACCCTTTTTTGCTTATATATACCCCCTTCACACCCATCCATTGGGTTTGCTTTCTCACTCTATCCCCTGCCCTCTCTCACCCACGTGCTCCCCCTTTTCGCCTTAAGACTTTGAGCTTTGAGACCTTTCTCAGCCTTAAGCCTTTGAGCTTGAACCTATCCTTTCGAGCTTGCCATTTGGAGCGAAATCTGTGTGGAGCACTTTGGAGTTTCATTTAGTGCTGTAAGTGGATCTAATTTCCATATTTTCATGCTTTAGATTGATGCATGTTTGCTTAGCTTATCAAAGTATGAGATTTAAGTACGAGTATGGGTGCGAAAATGGGCGTGGATGCATGTTACCGAAATCCTGCTAGAGTGCACTCTGTTTCCCGAACCGTGGCTCCAGCTTGAGAAACTGTTTGAGTATCCTATATATCTCCTTATATCATGCAATTTTGTGGAAACGTAGCTCATTGAGTCTATTTTATCATGGAAAAGACCTCTTGTTAATATCCTTTTTGGTTTAAAATTTATTTACCATCTTTTGAAGCATGCCAGATGTGTGAAATGAAATTCTAAGGATTTAAAGTGTTTTTGTGTAGAGCTTTTTAATAACCAAAACAAATTAGAAAGAAGTCAAACTACTTTTAAATGATAGCTAAATAAGTCTATTTTAAAAATGGTTTTGGAATCATGATAAAATTCCCTATAGCTTGAAAGTTATGCCCAATTTCCATGAGGATGTCACGCCGGGTTTCTGCTGTAAAAAAAAGAACTTTCCGGAAATGTTACTTGTTATATGTGACACTGACCAAAATATATCAGAATAAGGTCAAACCACTTCTAAATGAAAGATAAATGAATATATTTTGAAAATGGTTTTGGAATCATGATAAAATTCCTTGTGGTTTGAAAGTTATGTCTGTTTTCCTCTGAGTATGTCATCCTGGATTTTATGCTATGAAAACATGAATTTTGTTCAAGAACATCAAATAGTATGACAAACTTCAACCCAAAATTTGGGGTTATCCCCTTCATGAAAGTTGTGTTTTCATGAGCCCAGATTGTTAAGAAAGTGGTCTCAGATCCAAATGATATCTTTATCTCATGATATGCCTTTATAAGTGGACCGTGTTCACTATGAAAAACCAAAAAAATAGCTGGAAGATGTCTTTTGAGCTAATGATCCAGATGATATGTAGTATGCTTTGGACATATTGTTGTTTCATATGAACCTGTCTCTGTTATGATATGTGGGCATGAAAGCATCATCTGTTATAAAATGAAGGCATGATAATGAGGCATACTCTTTTAGGGAATGAATGCATGCACTGTTATGAAATGAATGCATGACAATTAAGCATATTCTGTTATGAAATGAAAGTATGCTCTGTTATGATATGAACGCATATAGTAAGACATGCTCAGTTATGTTATGAATGCATGTAGTGAGACATGCTCTGTTGTGATATGTGTACATGTTATGATACATGTTCTATTGTGACATATGTACATGATTTTGAGACACTCTATATGACATGTGATGTGTGATTTATTGGCATGCTTTGAGCGTATGGCATGACCATACTGTGATATGTGATTGATTGGTATGCTTTGAGCGTATTGCATGACAATACGGTGATATATGATTGATTGGCATGCTTTGAGCGTATTGCATGACCGTACTGTGATATGTAATTCACTGGTATACTTTGAGCGTATTGCATAACCATACTGTGATATGTGATCGATTGGCATGTTTTGAGCGTATTGCATGACCATACTGTGATATGTGATTGATTGGCATGCTTTGAGCGTATTACATGGCCATACTGTGATATGGGATTGATATGCATTCTTTGAGCGATTGCATTGCCTGACTTGTGACCTCTCCTGCTCGCCCAATGATAGGACGGGAGTCGGTGTAGATGATGTTTGGGTGGTCGCTCCCCCATTCATAGTGATTGGCACCCAGAAGGTGTAACGCTCCTAGCCAAGGAGGCGTAAGGGGTAGTGTCATGCAAGGTCATCGTCTATCAAAGGCCCCAAAGAGCGTTGGGGACTGTGTGTGTGTGTGAAAACATTACGA